ATAGATAGAATTAGATTTTATAAAACATGTATTTGTATTACAACACAATTCTATAAAATAGTATTTTTCCTTTCTACATCTATGTGTCATAAAACAGGAAAGGTTTTTAACAGTGATTACAATTTTAATAGACCAGTAGAAAAAAGGAGCCACAAAAGACAGTATAATAATGATCTTCTAAAAGATTTCATACCTGAATTTCCCCAGTAATTGGATGAGAAACGACCTTTGTTGCATCAGTAGGCTGCAATATTAAAACATGTATTAGATTAATGGATAAACCCTTCATAGAATTTACCATTTCAACTTCCTTCTGAATTAATTTCTGTTTGGTCAGAGCACACTGCCTGGAAAACACTTTTCATCCATTTGGCTGCTTCAGATTATAGTGTCCGCTTACATTTCTCAATACATGTTTAATTTTATAGATTCATAAATCTCTTTTTCATTTTGTTAAACTTGTTTTGAAGCTGTAATTTTATACCTGTGGTAATGTATGTTCAATTACTTAAGAAAAGGAAAATTTTTGGTTCAAAGTACTCAATTTAAATATTAATCAATTTTAAGCATCTATAAGAGAATGACAAAGATACAGTTTTAATATGACTACCTAGAGGCCCAAAGTTATAAAAGTCTCCCCTTATGCTCCTTGGTTGGGTACAGCCCCTCCCTGCTCCCATCGAGAGTGAAGCACCCATGTAACCCTAGGAAGCTAGGGTTTCATCCTCCATAACCAAAATTCTGTCCCATCCTGTGTAAGTTCTCATTTCCTTAAAAAGTTCTTTACATCAATAAAGCCTTAAAAACAGTGAGGGACGTGAGCTGATAAACTGTTCATACTGCTGAATAAATGACTGATTGCTGATTTATTACATTTCAATAGAAGGTACAAATTTGTACGAAAGGAGAGAAGATGTCCCTGAAACTAGATCAGTAATAGAATTTCAGTCAATATGGCATCAATAAAGGGACATATTTACTAAAATGGAGGCAAACTTGTTACCCTAAAACTAAGGCCCTGTCTCCTGATATGTACATAACACTGGCCTTATTTTAATAATTCAGGGAAAAAAGGAAAGATCCATAATAATTAGATGCATATATTTGTCCTACTACATTTTCTTTTACAAATTTATGCTAGAAATGTGAGCCATCAAATAAGACAGCTATATTCCAGGTTTTGTTCTGTGAAATAAGAGTAAAAATAATGTAATCATTGGTAAAATTATGGTGTATGGGACAAATTACCTAAGTCATCCATCCTTTATTAGTTAAGTTCATTTATTAGAATGGCAGTTTATTAAACTATCTTTTGGCTGCAAAGGATCAACTGCTAGTTATTGAACAATTATATTTACTTAATAACTATTTTTCTGTTTCAATTTTAAGAAAAGCAAAACTGAATCTAGAAAAAGAAAGACCACACAAGTTCCTGAAAATATTTCTCAGCTAAAGATGGGGAGTTTCCTAAAACCAGACATCCTTGCAGAAGAAAGTTGGAGAATAACTAAACATAAAAAGATAAGACCGAAAAAAAAAAAAAAACCACCCAAAGAGTGATGATTGAGAGTGTATTTTGTTTAGATTTCTTTTTGACAATTGTAGCTCACTTGACATATGATCATGCAAACATAAGTAGCTTCAACGCAGAGAATAAACTTAGGGACCATTTTTAATTGTTCTGGGGTGTGGCAGTGAATTATTAGCGCACAGCAAGATGTTTTCGTATCTGTCCAGCAGTAAGCAAACTACAGGCTCCAGGTAGTTACAGTTTAAGATCAGAGACCAAGTACTTCTTTTCAATGATGTCACATGCTGTGAGGCTGGTTTTTGATGATTGTAGTGATAAAAAATGTACTGCAAGAAAATGAGCGAGGTCAGTGTAGAGCAGAAAATGGCGGCGTCAGTGTCCAATATGGTTCCTCCACTTGAGTAGCTGCGCATTGCCAGTCAGGCACTGGTATCCAACTGATGTATAATTTTAGTTATTAACAATGAAACAAGCATATGATTTTTATTTCACTTTATGTATATATTTTTTTACAATGGTTACTAAGATGTTCAGACATAAATTAAATTGTTTGGACCTAACTATGTAATAAATGAAACTGTTTAAAGTATTTCTTTGGGCATAAAAGCATCATGAAAAAATTACTGAGATGTTAAGGATGCCATGACCAGAAAAGTTTGAGAAAGCAAACACTTGAAATTAGTAAGTGCCTTCGTAACTTATAATGAAAAAGAACATGAAAAAGAATATATATGTGTATATTTATAACTGAAACATTATGCTGTACACCAGAAATTGACATAACATTGTAAACTGACTACACTGTAATAAAACAAAAAAAAATGAGCAAGGACCTCAGTTGAATTATTTGTTTATACCATGACTTAAAATAAACTATTCAGATTTTAAAGATAAAATGAAGAAAGGTTGATTAGAGTTCAGAAATAAAGCAGCTTGAGGCAGGAAAATAAAAGTCTGAAGATAAAAATTCATATTGAATTAGTAAACAAAATAATAATTTAAAATGTTATATACTTAAATATAATTTAAACATATTATCTAAATAATTTAAATTCAAACTTTACTTTCATTTACTTAGAAGCTATCACTTAAATGAGTGTACTACTAATAGACTAATAATTACTTACGAATAATTATTCAAAATGTTTGATAGTTGGTGTTCTGAATATCTAAATGGATAATTATATGAACTATGATTTAAATATTTTAGTTTTAATACATTCCATTATATTAATATTTTATAATTTAACATATAATTAGTCTCATACCTAATAAAAACACAAAGATGTTAAAACCATTGTTTTCTGAATTACCTGAAGAACTATATTTGGACATATTAGATTAACTGACTCAAGAACATGGAAAGTTTCAGACCATCACTTGATATTTCTCTAATCTCACAATATAAATTTTTTAACATTGTAAGATTGAGGACAAATAAAAGAAAGGATTGCCTTTTATGCATATTACATGTTGATGGGTCAAGATTTATCATTTATTTATTCACTCATACATTCATTCAGCAAAAATATTTTGAGAAACTCAATACCAGCTAAATGCTGAAGATAAACCTTCCAAAAGATGAACAGCTAATAGCCTTTTCATCAATGAGATATATATATATATATATATCTCAAAAACAACCAGATTTGATTATTGTTATTACTACTAAGAGTTAAAAAGTAATCTCTACTCTATTACTGTCCAGTAGAATATAATGTGAACCACATAGGCTATTTAAAATAGTCACATTAAAACTGTAAAGATAAACTGGTGAAATTAATTTTTACTGACATATTTTATTTAATCTAATTTATTAAAAATATTATTTCACCAAGAAATCAATATAAAAATTGTAATGAGCTATTTTGCATTTCAATACAAAGTGTTAGAAATTCGTTGTGTAATTCCCATACTCAACATATCTCAGTCAGGACTAGCCACATTTCAAGTGCTCGACTGTCACGTGTGGCTAGCAGCTACTGTCCTGGACACTGCAGCTCTGTAACTTTCTATTTTAACAAGACTTCTGTAAAATCCACTTAGGCCACATTTCTGGCACAGAAAAGAATTACCATGTATCATAAAACCTGTCAATGTTATTTCCTTGATGTTTGTCCTACAATACCTGTTTCATCTTCTAATCATTACCAAAAAAAACTTCATTAGCCTATTACAAAAAATAAATCAAATTCTGTACCCCCACAATGTTACAGAAACTCCCAGGTGCCCCTGATGTTTTAACTGACAATATTTATTTTGTTACTGTTCTGTGCAAGCTGCTCTTCTACGCGCTTAGGGAGCTATAAAGAAAATAAGAAATGGTTCTTGGTTCTTCATGAGTGAGAAGCTCATTTGGGAGGATAAAATAAGCAAACAAGGAACTATAATGAAGATACAAATTGTCTTAAGGGATACATAAAGCATCTGGCACTTTGGAGGGAGGAGGGGGGAAGGAAAGATAACTCCTGACTTTAAGGAACGGTTAGAATATGGAAAGACGTCATGCAGGGAGGCTTCCTGTCATCCTCATTTCATTTTTGCTTATCACTGGCTCTTCATTTTCTGCAGACTGTAAAGGTCAGGCAAGTTCTTCTAATTTACAGTCATCTAGGCTTCTCCTTTACTTCTTGCCCCTCTGTCTTTTGTATACCTATGTTTGAGGCATGCAATTTTCTGTTTCTGAGATTTTTTTCCATGTTGCACTCTCTCCTTGGGATGTTGGTTTTTTTTCCCCTTTGCCAAATCGGTCCATTGGCAAAATGCCAGCTTTCCTAACCCTACTCTCCTAAGTGAACTCACTTCTTAATGACCACCAACATCATACCTTCACTGAATTTGTCTACGTATCACTCTTCATCTGTACTTAGATCAGCACTCTCCCACTTGAAGGGGCATCACACTCACTTGGAGAACTTATTCAAACCCAGTTTGCTTGGTCCCATCCCTGGAGTTTCTGATTCAGAAGGCCTAGCATGGGATCAAGAATTTGCATTTGTAATGAGTTCCCAGATGATGCTGATGCTGTTGGACTGGGATCATGTATAAGAGCCACTGGTCTGCATAGTATGCAGGTAAGGATTTTACCCATCTTTGTGTCTTAGGTACCAGTTATGACCCTTGACACTGAGGTGGCATTTAAAAATGTCTGTGGAAAGTAGGAATGAGTTTAAAACCTCATAAACAGATTGCTTATTAGCAAGACTATTGTAAAGATCTGACAACAATACGCTTACTGTGATAATCTTCCCAGGAAAACCACTGACCGGGCCCTTTCAAGAATGAGCAGGACAGGGCCCCAGGTTCAGGTAGGAAAGCTGACACTCCAGGTAGCAGGGATACATTTTAAACAGGATAGTGACCCAATCAGATCACTGTGCCCAGATCAGATGGCTGGAGGCTAGTTTAAGAGGGAGGAAGAGAGACTGGTGGGTGGAGTTACCAGCAGTGAGTACAATAATGCTGGGAAAAAAAGAATGATGCTTTGCTGAAGGAAACTGGCAAATTCAGGGAAGATGAAAATTGTCAGAGACTAATTAGAAAATTAGAATTCACAGGATTAGGACTCAGTGAATGAAGAGAAAAGAAGAGGCTTTTACATTTTTACTTAATTTTCTGGGAAGATGATGATGTCAATTGCTGAATGAAAACACGTCAAAATACCTAGATGACAGACTTGCAGAACTATAATGTGAAAACTCTGCTAGCCAGTCTGTTATGTCTTCAGGTCTTCTGTGTGGAGATATCAAGAAAGGAATTAGAAATATTAGCCTGTAACTCAAGGAGACTCCATGTCTCCTGATTCTTCAAAGCTAACACATAACTGCATGTGGTAAAACATAGTTGCGGTAAAATTCATTTTGAAATTGAGCGTAACTATCCTTGAAATTATTCCTCATGAAATCTTACCATATTTAGCTTGAAACAAGTCATTTTATGATGCTGTGATTAGGATCACCCTATTATTCTTTTTTGTTTCTGAATAAAAGGGATTTTTGGTGACATCGGCTATATTTTTATAATTAATAAAAAAATTGTTTTCTGAAGACCAGTCAATTTATTCATGCATAGCCTGTCCTTCCTATATATCTCACTACATAAAGAAAAATATTTATTTGAGTTTAAATAAAAAAATACTTGTTCTAATATATTTATCAACCATGAGGATAGTTTATTAGTAACCAAATTTATGAGGGAAAAGTTACAAATTGTCTACATTTTCATCTGATTTTATAAGGTTAAAAATTAATTCATGTTTTCTTTTAATTCCCCAGTAAATCTGAAATAAAAATATTAGAAACATCTGTTCCAAATGAAGATGTGCACCAAGAGAAAATTTATTAGTATGGAATTAAGACTAAATTTCAAAATGACAATACTGTGTTACTAGCTTTCCTTGTTTCTTGTTGTCCTAAATTCTCTGCATTTCTGCATTCTTTTTACCTTTTACTTCAGTGAAAAAAATCTAATGTAATGTATATCTTGTCTTTCCAAAAAGATAAAGATATATTTCACATACAAAGAGGCTCAGATTTATGCAACAACAAAGAAAAAGGACACGAAGCATCAGCCAGAGTTTTCAAGTGCCCCATAACAATAACTGCTAAAATATTTTAAGAGATGTAGAAATACATACACCATTTTGATACATCTTGATCAGTTACATATCGAGAAAAGGAAAAACATGTTTTTTGTTGTTGTTGTTTTGGTAAATCATTAGGAAAGAAGAAATCACATCAAAAACACCCTAAACAATGCTATCGTATTTATTTCCTAGTCTGAACGAGGAACAGAGAATATCACCAGGAGGTGACAGTGAACACTCCTCACCTTGCTGCTGCTGTGTTTCTTTCTGCTCACTGACGGTGACCCTGGCTGTCCGGGGCTGGGAACAGAACTGGATCCTGCTGACGTAGGACCCGAATGAACGTGAGATCCTTTTTCAACGACGGACGACAGAACCAGGGGTGACTGCTGTAGCGAAACCTTCTGGAGCTCTGCTGCCAGCTGTTTAGGATCCACCCCTGGGGACTTCGCTTTATCCACTACAACAAAACGAAAAGGCTTCACATAGTCTCAGTGTCACAGGTACTCAATAGCATGGAATTTATCTGAGTTCTAGCTGACAAAGTCAAAATGTTAGTTACACAACAAGCTCAAAAGAATAAATGCAATTGTATCTTAAGTATCTATTTCTAAAGTCTAGAAGGTGCAGAGAAGAGTGAAAGAATGCTGAATTACAGAAGAATATCGAGGTTCCTATTATATCTTCAGAAAAACGTTTTTTTTTAACAGTTTACATACAGAACTGTATATGTGATAAAATATTCTATTTTATTCACTGGAATTCAATTTGTGTAATGGGCTGCTTTTCCTTCTTGAAATGTTACATATCTATTTCTTTACAGGGGAAATTTCAAAGAGTATGTTTATATTTACAGATGTATGAACATTTCTACAGGTCTTGGTTTGTTCTGTTTAGTGCAGTTAACCCAGACTCTTAGAAATGCTGGCAATAGCGTATACAGTGCTCAATAAATACTTCGTGAACAAAAGAATAGTGATATTTTTAATCTTGTAAGTGATCTAAATTCATAGACTATATTTGTTATCTAAGAAAGAATTAAATCTACTTCATCATGTACTTATGAAATTGCACACTGATTTTAATTTATTATTAAAAAGGTAACCAAAAGGTTCAGGTTATAAGTGTCCCAAAACCCAGTTATGCTAAAAAGAACCTAGTAGTATCTAACAATTATTTAGGGCCCAAAATAAATAGCTCAATGGATTACTTTCATGTAATAAATTGATTTTTAAAGAATTAAAAATGTGAACTCACAGAGCAAAAATTTCATATGAATTTCTTTAATGGGTCTAATATATAAATATGTGTTTCCCTAGAATGCTAAATAAGCAGCTACAATGCTTTTCATTTTCTTTATGATTAAATAAATACATAAACACCTATCTGTCTATAAATTTATTTTGCCTGTGTCTGCATTTATGTCTGTATCTTCATCCACAGCTACATGTGCCTCTATAACTACTTCTGCATCTTTATCCACATTTGGAAGCAAACTGCTTTCACCTACCAGCTTTTGGTGGTTCATGAAGTTCTAGGTGCTGGGGATTTTCAGAATCGGATAGCATATTGAGGTCCCTAAAAATTAAAACAAAAACAAATTAAGAAAGCAACTGAGGAAACCTGAGACAAAGGTCCTTTTCCCCAACTACTCTGATTATTTTTTTTTTCAGTAGGTAAATGAGAAGTGGTTAATGATAAAAAGCAATTTCAAAGCATGCTCACCCTTCTAACCAAATATATATCTGCAATGCTGTTAAAAGTCAGCTGATAAAAATGATTATTTAAGGTGAAATCTTTATAGATTAAATATAAGTTCATTTTGATATACTGCACACATCCATGAAATCTAAATGGGTTCAGACTTTCATTTAAATGATGCATGTTCCAATAAAAGCATGAAAGGGGACATAATCAGAAAGAAAATTCGCTGAATTCCTTCTATGCTTTAGACTTTGAATCCGAACACAAGAAATCTACAAAACTTGTATTCACGCTATTTTCTAATTACGAGAAATCTTGCTGACTGGCAAAGGTTCCACCTTAACAATTTTAAATTAAAAGAGCCATGAATAGCCAAAAAATGGAAACAAAAAGATGGGGAAAAACTCACAGTCTTACACATATTTCTGCTTCCCCACTTTGCTGACTAATGATACTCTGCACTTCTTCATATGTTTTAGAAGTTAAAGGAACTCCATTCCATTCCAACACTTGCATGCCTAAAAAGACAAATTCACGCATAAAATAAAAAGGTGTGCTATGTCTCATCTGGGTCCACAGGGCATAGAAGACATTGCTTTGCATTTAAAAACCAACTCAGCACACCATTTCAGAGTACATCAATTCAAAGTGTTCTGGAAAATTGCTATCAAAACCATAAGGGGTTTGATTTCATCAACTTACCTGACCGTATAAAATGTATCGAACATGCAAAACGTTGCTATTGAAAATCTATTAAATATTCTTAAACACATGCATTTTGTTCACACTGCTATAAAGGAAACATTCTTGACCATATATTGCTTAAATGAATTCTGGGTGGGAAGATGATAATAATTGCAACCACCAAAAACTATAATTTTTCCATGGAGAACAAGCAACTGGAAGAGTGTAAACTTCCGTTCTCTTATGGAATAGGAGTGGTAGAAAAAAGTCATTGGGATTTTATTGTGAAGCTCCTTTTAAGAAGTTGTTATAGTTTCAACTTTGCTCTGATAAAACTTTGCTCAGATGAAAAAGATTTCCATGTTGGGTCTTTTTCGTCACTGCATGCAAGACATTCCTGAGTAGAAGAAGCAGGAATGTCACGCAGAGGGCAGCCTCATGGGTGTGTGTGGTCTGTACAGTAGGATGTCCTGTGCTCAGAAGGGCCTCGTCTTTCGTTTAATGCTTTACTGCTGCCATTTTGAAATTCTTAACACTGTTTGAACAAAGAGTCCTACATTTTCATTTTGCACTGGGTCCCATAAATTATGTTGCTTGACTGGTTACAAGGAATTTCATCTTTCTTCTCTTTATAGGAAGATAATTTTCATACCAAAAAAGCAGTAACATAATTAAGATTTAAACATTTTACATTCAGTTTCTTTGGTCCATTTTATACGAGCCGTCAAGTAATTTTAGGTGCATATTTGGCACAAATTGCAAGGTCCTAATATGTGGCTACGTGAGCTAGATAGAAATTAGATGAAACCATCCGAAGTTATAGTGCCCAGATATTTGTGAATGCTATCAGATTTACCTGAGAAAAAATAGCTGTATGCCAGGACTAAGTTATAATTTAAATAAAAAAAATACTCGTTGAACAATTAGGTTTTCAATGAGCTTCACAGATGCCTATGTGAAATTCCCTATTGCTCACTATTGGCTTCCATGGGAAATTCTAAATATGGCATGATTGAGTCTTTAAAAGTTTTCAGTGAGTTTGATATACATTGAAAACCATATTACCAGCTGCAAACAAGTAGGGGAAAGTCTTTTACAATGTGAAATGGCAAAAGAAGTCCATAAAAATGCCCACAATAACACAAAAAAGAATGACTTTTCTAAAACTTACTCCAAGAAAACGTTATCTTCAGAAGGGCCTTAGGTTTATTTTGACAATCTCAGGCTGTTGTACACATAAAATGAGAAAATTACATAAAAGACGGTGATAACATCACTAAAGAAAAACAGCATTGAAAGAGGAAAAGCTCACTGAAAAATATATTTTTTTAGTCACAAGAAAGAATACATTGATGAACAGAAGATTCTGAATTGAAACAAATTAATGGTGTTATAACCCAGAAATTGCATTGTCACTTTTCTGCAGGAACGTACTCTATGAAAAGAAATAGCTACATAATCTTCATGCTGCTTCTGTTGAATTTCCCTGTTCATTTTTCATGTTTTAAAATAAACAGGCAAGTTTATAAAACTTAATTATCCAGTGAAATGAAAAATACTCCTAGCCCTTAAAAAAAGGAAACCTATTTAGAATCGTTAATAAAATCGATAGAAAAAATACACAGATGACTAAGATCTCACCAAGATATATACCTGAGGTCATGAACCATATGATTTGCTCTGTCCCAAGATACACCAGCTGAACTTCTTTTCCCCTTACTTGGTTTCCCACTAGCATCAGTGCAATATTGCAGTTCAAAAGATTTTGCCAGTTTTCTTACTCTTTTATTATTGGTTCCAATGGTGAGCATCAGATACTATAGGAAATGTGACTGACTACTCGAACATAGTCATTTAATAACAACTTCCTCTTCCACTGCCTCCCCTACTTTCCTCAAATGCTAGAGGAGCCATACTAAAATAACCAAGTGAACGTGCAAATTACTCCTTATGGTAATTAGTAAGATGGTCTGAATAGTTGTGAGAATTAAGTATGATTTGTTTTCAGATATGATATTTTTGAAAATACATTAATTGTAAATTCCTATAAACTATTTTAAATTGCATGCAAAAATTGTTTGAAGGTACTACATATAAGTTCACTAAAGTAGTGTTTTATCATTTAATTGATTTAACTGTTAAGTGTATTCAATTTTAAGGAAACTTTTTACACTGACTTTGGTTTAGAAATAATTTCCGGAAGGTAGTGAACACATGAATGGTTATAGCTGTTGTTTAGCATTATAAGCAAATACATTTTCTTTATATTTAAATTACATCAACATGTATGTTAACCAATTGGTCAAATTTGAGATTGTACAGATGATACTTCAATTATATCCCCAGAAAGTGCCTATTCTATTACTCAGCCATAAAAACGAATGAAATACTGCCATTTGCAACAGCATGGGTGGACTGAGAAATTATAATACTAAGTCATACAAAGACAGACAAATATTATATGGTATCACTTATATGTGTAATGAAAAAACAATAATACAAAGCAATCTATTTACAAAACAGAAACAGATAGACAAAGAACATGAACTTACAGTTACCAAAGGGAAAACGGGAGGGGAGGGAACAAATTAGGAGTACAGGATTAACAGACATACACTGTTTTATATAAAACAGATAAACAACAGATTTGCTGTATAACAAAGGGAGCTATCTTCAATATCCTGTAATAGCCTATAATGGAAAAGAATCTGAAAAAGTATATATATATATACACACACACACATATATCTATACACCCATATATATGAATTACTTTGCTATACATCTGAAACTAACACAATATGAAAATCAACTATAGTTCAATTAAAAAATTTTTTAAAATGCCTATTCTAATAACTTCTAATAGGTAAACTAAGATACTCTGAATTTTTTGAAAGTGCAACAGTAATGAAAGAATTTACTACTCAAAATCTTACACTTAACAGGTTATTAAAAACTGAAAAATAGACACAATCAAGTAATTTTGGAATTAAAAATTCGATCAATATATTCTCGTGTGTGTTTTTATAACTTTTGGGATTACTTAATTTTGTATGCCCCTCAAACTGGCAAAAACTATTCTAATCTTTATAATACACAATTTCCTGTATGCTATTTCTTTGTCTGTATTTAATATTTATCATTACTTCAAAAACATCATATGGATTAAAATTATTGCATTAATAGTCAAAATCTTAGAGGTTAATGTATATCTAAACATATATCACCCAAAAGCTCATGACTTTTATTTATTTATTCCACAAATATTTATGGGGCAGGCACTACACAATTCATCACCCTTGTGATGATCACTGTCTTTGTGTCTTATATTTTATGCTGTTGTAAAAATTAATAAAAATTATACTCTACTAGAAAAAACAGAACTATCTCGGTGATTTGTAAAATGAAGATGATTCCCAGAGAAGGAAATGCACGAGTGTTAGAAACACACGAAGAAATGCCCAGACTCATTAGTGATGAGAGAGTGCAAATGAAGCAAAAATGATGGATCACTTAACTCTCATCATATTGAAAAATGTTTGAAAGCCAGAAACTGTGTTGACCAGGACATGGGATTAGGGGTCCTTGACGTCAAAGGAGATTCTACTTGCTAGGAAGTTGTTCAGCTTTATCCCCACTCTACGATGAAAGAATATGATGACTATGTCAGGATGAAAAAATAAAACTGCTTGTTTGCACTTTATAACCATGTAATTATTTAAAAAGGAATGCAGGTAAGTGCAACCACTCTGGAGCACAATTCGGCAGAACGTTGTTAAATTAAGCACATGTACATATATCCTCTGACCCAGAAATCTTCTTCATGAATATCTACTTGTGGGGAGGTGGCAGTATCAGGAGAAATGGGCAATGAGAGTGTACGAAATGCTCACGATGGAAACATGTAGCAGAGTTTTAGGAAAGATACCACACCAAGTGTTAACACCAAAGGGTGGCTCCATCCTAAAATCATTTGCCAAGTGAAAACAAGTGAGAAGCAGAATCTGATCTTTAGGGCAATGACATTTATGTACATTAAAATGATATTCACACTAATGGACATTATATATTTTACAAATAAATAATAGACATTACATAAATTATAATGGTGGCTCATGGAGGGAAGAATGGAATAGGAAAGGAAAATGAGATGAAAGAACATGAATGAATCAACAAACAAACAAAAACCACTTGCACACACAGGAGGGGACCTTACAGGAATCAATGGGGCTATTAGGCTGATATGAATTTCATTTTACAGAAAATGGGAGCCTGAATTGCTAAAAAAGACTACAATAAAATACTATAGTTTATTTTACCCAATAATTCTACAATTCTAATAATGCTTTCAAATATAAGAGAAAGACTGAGAGAGAGAGGCTGATATTTAGCATTTAGAAATTAAAATTAGTCCATTTTTCAAAAAGGAACACATGCACTATTCTCAGAGAGACAAATATTTTTTTTCTCAGAAATGTGTTTTATGAACCAACACACTGCTGATAGTTAACTGTTGATACTTTCTCTCTTCCATAATCAGACATGTTCACATTTAGCTTGGTTACTTCCTAGCTGCTGTGACATCCCGCAAGCTGATTAATCCACTGTCCTCGGCTTCCTCAAGGGAGAATATACTCGCTAGATCACCGTTTTAGGTGATTTCCACTCCATGATGTGGAAAACACTAAGACTATGACAGAATGAAAAGTGAAACAGCTGCATGTTTACAATTTATGAAAATGCAATCTTTGAGCTGCAGGTGTATATGAAGAAATTAACAAGTATTTTAGAGTTCTGAATTTTCCACATTGTTTTACATTATTTTCCTTATCGA